GCGTGTTCGGAATGCGGTTTTAGGGCAGTCGGGCGGATTGACACGAATCTGATGGTAACCCCCCCGAAGGTCGATTTTCGAGAAAACCCGGGCTGTGCGCAGTTGGTCGATCAGTTCGTCGGCTCGTGGGATGGGGTAACGGGATTTGATGGTAACCCTGTTCAGTGCTCTGTAATCGATGCGCATGCGAAATCCCCTGTCTTTTTTCGTTGTAAACAGTATCGGTGTTGCGAAAGGCGACGAACTAGGGCGAATGAACTCCTTCTCGAGCAGATAATCGAGCTGCTTCCTCAGTTCGTCCAGTTCGGGCTGGGTCAGTCGGAACTGTCGCTGTAATGTTGGCTGTGCCCCCGGTTCCAATTCTATTCTGTGATCGTGCGGTCGCTGAGGTGGCAGTCCCGTCGGTAAGTCGTCCGGGAAAATGTCGCTGTACTGCTTCAACAGTGCTACCAGGTCACTCGGTACGTCGGTCAGCAGTTTCTGCAAATCCCCTCCCTTGTCTGCTGCCTCGGCTTCCCGAATGTCGACCGCGTACACGTCAGCTCCCGCCGCTACGGCGCGTTTCATCGTGATCGCGTTGACACGCACCGACGAAGACTCAGTCGAGCCCCAGCGAGGTAGGGCGATGTGGTTACCGTTCACTCGCACGGTGCAGTCACCCGTCGTCCAGTCGATTCGCGGATTGTGTCGTCGCAACCAATCTGTCAGAATGTTATCTTATGCTCTAGCCTGTAGTGGGGTGCTCTATAGCGAGTACAACCCTTTTAGGGTTTGCTATTTGTATCCTCATTCTTGCTAGTGCAATCCTCTTCTTTCTTCTAAACTTTAACATGCTATCAGAGCAGGTCAATCCCCTTGGATCGATCCTGTGGGTGGGCTTACCACCTCCTAGCTTCCGCTGCAACTCCTACCACTACACTCGGTGCCGCACGCCCCGTGGCGTGTGGCAGTTTTCTTCCCGCCGTGCGCCCCGAGGCGCGCGGCGGTTTTCTTCCCGCCGTGCGCCCCGAGGCGCGCGGCGGTTTTCTGCCCGCCGTGCGCCCCGAGGCGCGCGGCGGTTCTCTGCCCGCTGTGCGCCCCGAGGCGCGCGGCGGGCTTCGGCCCCGTCAACCGTCGCGTCGCCCTCGGGAGGCACCGCGACGGGCGACGGGGACCCGTTCGTCGCCCCCCGTCGCCCGTCGTGGCCTGCGCGCGGCCCGTACAGGCAGCGCGCGACCCGTACGGGCTGCGCCAGGCCCGCGCGCGACCCGTACGGGCTGCGCCAGGCCCGCGCGCGACCCGTACGGGCTGCGCCAGGCCCGCGCGCCACCCGTACGGGCTGCGCCAGGCCCGCGCGCGGCCCGTACGGGCGGCGCCAGGCCCGCGCGCGGCTCAGGCCGCCTACGCGCGGTTCGGGCGACCCTACCAGGCCCGTGGTGGGCCCGCTCCTTGCTGCCCCTGCCCTCCCTACTGTCCCCCAGCGCTTCTACTCGTGCCCCACCCCTCCTACTCCCCATTCTCCTGTATTAGGGTTTGGGGGTGCGGGGTATGGGGGTGCACCCACTGTGTACTGTTCCCTGCTCCTCCTCCTCCTCCGTCTCCCTGTGCTGCAGCTGCCGCTGAGGGGGGGTGGACGTGTTGGAGCCGGTGGAGTGGTACTAAGGGGGGGTGAAGGGGGAGTGGAGCTAGCGGTGTAGCAGCGGGTATGTGCCAGGGGGGAGTGGGATAGTTTGGGGAAGCTGAATGGAGGTTGCCGTCGTGTCGCCAGCAGCACCTGTATTCCGGGGACTTCGTCCGGTAGCCCAGTCGTAGCCAGCTGTGCCAGCCGCCCGTGGGTCCGTTGCTCGTCTGCCGCTACTTTAGCCGCGGGGCCTGTTACTCCTGTATTCCGGGGACTTCGTCCGGTAGCCGCTGTGCCAGTCTGCCTCCTGTTGCCTGTGTGTCTGCAGCTTCAGCCGTCGCCTCCTATCTCCTCTCCTCTCACTCTCTCTCCTCCTCCTCACTTGCCCGTTGTGACTACCACTAGCTTTGCTCATAATTGTGAACTTAAACTATTGCTTCTTGAACTTGTGCTCAGAATGTGTGGTGACATTGTGATCCACCCTGAGCTTGTACTCCTTTGCTTACTCTGCTGATTACACCCCACTTTGGCTATGGGGGTGTGTCAGAATGTTATCTTATGCTCTAGCCTGTAGTGGGGTGCTCTATAGCGAGTACAACCCTTCTAGGGTTTGCTATTTGTATCCTCATTCTTGCTAGTGCAATCCTCTTCTTTCTTCTAAACTTTAACACAATCACGCCCGAGTAAAATATCGGTTCCGTCGAGGGTCGTTGCGAGCATTTCTTGGCTAAATGTGAAGTTACCCCCGCATCGAATCCGAACCCGGTCTACGCGTTCCCGTATTGCCAGCGGCGTGCCGTCTACCAGTCGTGCGTCGATCTCAGGTAAACATCTGTCCAGTGGCAGTCGCAGTTTTCGTGCTGTAGCAGTGTTGATGAGGCTGTGGCTGGCTCCCCCGTCTACGAAGATTTTAACTAAGTCCGTCCCGATTTTCCCACTAAGCAGTATAGGGCTGTCTACCGTAGTACCCTCCTTATTCGGCCGGGTGTGGTCGATTGCGTGAACCGGCACAATCACTCGGTGAGGGTCGGTTGGGTCGGGCGAGCGGCGTGACCTGTCAGTAGAGGGCCCGTCTGCTACTGACTCCCAGCGTTTCCCTGCTGCTTGGTCTGTTTCTGCTGCTCAGCTTCCCCCTTTCCCTTAGCGTTTTCCGGGCATTCGCTCTTGCGGTGTCCCGGCCGATTACACGCGAAGCAGCGCCCTTTGAACGGTGCGGCAGCGGCATTCGCGGCGACGGCACGTATCGTAGCGCCCTCGTTCGTCCCACGAGACCGATGTCCCCAGTTGCTGCTACTGCCGTAGGACCCCGGTCTCGGTCGGCGGAAGAAGTCGAGCTTCTCCGCCATAGCGAGAATCTCCTGAAAATCGATGACGCCGCGAAGCTGAATTTCTTGAGCGATGTCGTGCTTCAGGCCGCCGATGTAGCGGTCGATGCGCTCGCTCTCATGCATGTAGCCCACTTGCTCGCATAGCGCCAGAAACCCGCTGGTGTAGTCCTGGACGGAACCGAGTTGGCGCCAAGTGCGGAGCTTATGTCGCGCCGCGATCGAAGCCGCAATTGGCTCAAATCGAGCGCGCAGACCTGCGCACCACGCGTCACACGTGCGATATTGGGGCACCTCCACGAAATACGACGGCGCCCAGGGTCCGGTTTGTCCTTCCCGTGTCGGTAGAGTCGCGTAGTCATTCGGCTTCGTGACGATGACGCGCCACCAGTCCATGGCGGGTCCTCGCAGCAGCGACACGGCGTAGCGAATTTTCGCCGAATCCTCCGAGACGTAGTTGGCGTCGAAAAACACGTTCATCGTGAACAACCACGCCTGAACGGTAGGACCACCCCGTTGACTCGGGTCAAAGCATGGCGGACGCTGCGGCTTCAGCGGCATCGGTGACGGCAGTCCCGAATCGTGGGTCGGTGCCGAAATCGTGACGCGAGGTTGACTTGGGGCCGCATTCCTCGCTCCGGGGTGTGTCGTGCCGTGGTCGTCGTCTCCGTCGGGGCGGACGACGCCATCACTGGCCGCGCTCGCGGGTTGCCCCACACTTCCGTGCTGTGATGTCTGTGGTGCGGGCTGAATCGGAGTGCCAGGTGCTTGGGATTGTGCCCTTGTGAGGTCGTTTTGCAGGGACGAGCGTTCTGCCGTCAGCGTCGCAATTTCCTCGGCGCTCTCGCGGATTTGTCGCAGCAGATCGTTCAAATGCTCCTGCGTGAGAGTCGTGACGTCGATGTGTTCGGCCATTTCGAAGGACGTCGGCTCGTCTTAGTCTAGGTGCAGTCGTGGCTGCACGCGTTTACGAGAGAACGCGAGGACAGCGGCTCCTAGGTGCTAAGGTACGTAAGTCCCTTCGAGTGAAAAATCAAAAGTTGATTTCCTGGGGTGCGGAGATGCGCGGTCCGAAAGAAAGGGGCTCTGAATACCAAGTGTTACGGGTGCAATGAATCGAAGTAGCGAGAATTGCACTAAGGTGTCAAACGAGTACAAAGATGTGAGCGAAGGCATGAGCGAACATTTATATGCGAAGCATGCAAACGGTAACGCGGTGCGTGCGAGCTAGCTAGTGCTATGCTGGCAGCGAGGCTCGGGCTAGTCCCGAAGCGTAGGCCGACACGGCCGGGCCAGCAGTGCGAGGTTTGGTGAAACAGTGCGCGCGAAGTCGGCAAAGTTCCGTTAGCAGTAACGGGCGAACAACGGCTGTTGCTGTACGCGATGTAGTCGGGCTCCGTAAGGAATGCCGAGAAAATTCCTTACAGCAACTCACATACTGAACTCGAAGCGGTCTGTAGCATCTTCGTTCGGAGCATCAAAGTGACAGAGGGAATTTAATTGGTCAGTCTGTTCTTTGTCAGCCAATAGCGTGCATGAAATCCTCAGAGCCTGATGGGATGGGTCACTTTCCACTTCACAATGACATCACCAAGCAGAAATCGTTCATCCTTCCCTCCAATGGAATACACGCGGACAAATCATGAAGTGTCCACCAACCTTCTGACCGTATCTAACCAGACGAAATCAATTGCAACGATACTGTAATGTGTCATGAAAATGTCATCTGACATTTTTCGCCTGACGGAAACACCCACATCGCTGCGTTGGAAAATCCTCCTGGGAACTCCTCACCACAAATTCCCTTGAGAACGTTTTCAGTCACTCGCAAACTACCAACAATCAACAAAACCGTGGGAATCTCGGAATCAGCCTGTTCGAACGTAGGTCGTTTCACAAGCCTTATGATTTCCTGCGTTCCCGAAACGTAAGCTCGAACATCCTCTGCTGAGGTCGTTTTGTGTCCAGATCTCAAGGTTGCACCGTTTTTTCTCGTCGCGCAGGCTAATAAACTTCTCTAATTCCCAAGCTCGCGAAAGGATAGCTAATTCTGCTTGTCTATCTCTCTCGGGTTCATGGCGAATCAGAAGCAGCGTAGCTCTCTCTATTCAGCTGGTCACAGCGATGGTAAAGGCACTTTGCACAGCACTGCTGCCACCGGTACGAACACAAGCAATCGCCAAGGTACTATTCGACGGCCTTCAGCCATCGTGATTGGTAGCGGGTTCTCCGGCCTGGCAGCAGCTCACGCGCTGCATCACGCATCGTTTGAGGTGCGATGTTTTCGTCCGGGATTGTTCCAGGATGTATCTTCGAGCCGGTCGTGCAATTTGATTACACCGAGAATCTACACAGTTCACATCCCAGGGAACTTGGTTCTGCAACTTGATCGTTTCATGCATGCAAAGGGTTCATCTTCCTCCAAAGCTCCTGAGAACATCATGGAACTCATCATGACGGTTTTTCTGCAGTCTAATGGTTGTTCTGCAGCTTGACGCCTGACCTGCAACATCGTCAAAGCCACGATGCATTTGAACTATCAGGCTCTTTCATCCTCTTTCTCTTATTGTTCCATCCCTCCCTCCGGAACGTCTAACTCACTGGCTCCATAAATTTCTCTGCTGACACCACGAATGGTGGTGACAGAGGCAAGGTTGAGACGTTTTGTCATTGCTAACAACGTGAAATCTCCTCTGGCCTGCGTTGCTCCCCATCTACGGTAGGTGGTGGTGCTAGAGGCAAGGAATCGCATCGGAGGTCGCGCTTTCACAGACTACTCTTTTGGCTTTCCGCTTGATCTAGGTGCTGCCTGGTAAGCGATTGTTCCCAACAGTGGTCTGTGAGTTCGTTACCAACACCCAGCTGGTCCCTTATTCATTCCTTCGTTGCGATTACCGTAACATTCATCAGTAAAGCTTTCCGACCACTGTTTCTCCAACCTGCTTACCCCCCCCCCCCATCTCACCTTCCTCTCAGATCTACTCCTCCCCCGGCTTATCTGTCCCTCTAATGTACCTGTTTTCTCTCCCTTCTGCAGGCTGCACGGTGTTTCTGAGACTAATCCGCTGGCTCGGCTGATCGCGGACCTCCAGCTTCCGCTTTACCGAACCAGTGGAGACGACTCGGTTCTCTATGATCACGACCTTGAGAGGTGGGTACTGGGAAAGCGCGGTGGTGGCGGTGGGTAGGATTGTGGTGTTGTGTTTCCAGCTTCCGCTTCACTGAGCCAGCGGGGATGAGTCTGAGCTCTATGATGGTCATGACCTTGAGAGGTGGGTAGGTGGCATGGTGCTGTGTGGTGCCGTGTGGACCTACGTGGTGGTGTCGAGTGCTGTACGGTGCTATATGGTGCTGTGTGGTGTTGTCTGGTTTTGTGTGTTGCTTAGTTCTAAGTTCGTTTTCCCTTCATTTCTCTGTTTCCAATACGCCTTCTTGAATCCCAAGGTGCAACTTCCCCTTCAACCCTCAACAGCATGCGTTGCTTTGATGCAAATGGACCCCCTCCCTTAGAAACTTCTCGAAACGCAATCTGCAGATGGTGCTATCTCAACACCCCCCCTGTGTCCGTTTCAGCTATGCGCTGTACGATGAGGATGGGGTGAAGATTCCCCAGGACGTGGTGGAACGCGTAGAGAGGGTGTTCGAAGAGATGCTGGAAGAGGTACGCCGTGAGGGTCATCTGAAAAAAACATGTGCTTTTAGTCAATTGCTTATAAACGTCAACACCATGAGGACGTGGTGGAGCAGGTGTTCGAATAGATGCTGGAAGAGGTATGTCGTGAGGGTTCTCTGGGAAATCTATGTGCTTCCAGTCAAACTTCTAAACTTCTACCCCATAAGGAGGTGACGTGTTGGAGCGTGTGGAGCAGGTGTTCATAGCGATATGCTGGAAGTGTTGTCGTTGGAAGGGGTACGTCGTCAGTGTCCTCTGAATGCTGTCCATCCTTCGTTTCAGTATCCAGCTGAGTCTTCTCGCACGAGGAAATTTATGCCATGTTTCAAAGGTCGTGTACTGTAGGGTCCCCTGCATAGTGTCCTGTCCATCCATCATTTCAATATCCCGACTGAGTCTCCTTGAACGAGAATATGCCAAGAACACGGAGCATGCCTTGGCATCAGTGGAGCTGTTCTCAGGGAACATCATGTAGTCCTTCTTTCTCTCCATCATCTCATCTCCACACCACCAGACCTGGCAGCTGTGCACTGACACAAGCAAGGACATACGTGGAGCATGCCTTGGCTCTGGTGGAGCAGCGGGGGCCGGAGCTGAGACTACAGGCAGAGGGGAGGAGCGGGCAGGTGATCAACTGGTATCTCTTACCCCTTCCTTTCAAAACAATTATCCCCACGCCACCAGACGCGTCAAATATGCGCCAGCACATGCGAGGACATGAACATGGAGCATGCCTTGGCTCTGGTGGAGCAGTGCAGGCCGGACCTGACACTACAGGGTGTGGAGCGGCGGGTGCTGCAGTAGTAGCTCAGTCCTCTTTCTCTCTGTAATATCATCTCATCGACCAAACAACAGACTCGCCAAATTTGCAAGAACACGAGCGAGGACATGAACATGGAGCATGCCTTGGCTCTGGTGGAGCAGCGCAGGCCGGACCTGACACTACAGGGTGTGGAGCGGCAGGTGCTGCAGTGGTACCTGTGCCGCATGGAGGGGTGGTTCGCTACAGACTTGAAGAATCTCTCTGCCAAATGCTGGGAGGAGGTGAGCCGTAGGGGCTTGTGGTGTGCTGACAGGAACAGAGCATCAGCATCCCATCATGCGGCTCATCCCATCATGCTGCACGCACGCACAATATGGTTGTAGGATGATCTAGTGGAGGGGGGTCACGGCCTCATGGTGAAAGGCGACCTGCCTGTGCTGGACGCCTTGGCTTCCCATCTGGCCCCGTGTGCTTGTTACCCCATACTGCTCCTCACGTGCGTGCTGCTCACTCCATCATGTTGCATGCAGGAGGATCTAGTGGAGGGGGGTCACGGCCTCATGGTGAACGGCTACCTGCCTGTGCTGGACGCCCTTGCTTCCCATCTGGCCTCTTGGCTCGTTATCCCATTCTGCTCCTCACGTGCGTGCTGCTCACTCCATCATGCTGCATGCAGGAGGATCTAGTGGAGGGGGGTCACGGCCTCATGGTGAACGGCTACCTGCCTGTGCTGGACGCCCTTGCTTCCCATCTGGCCTCTTGGCTCGTTATCCCATTCTGCTCCTCACGTGCGTGCTGCTCACTCCATCATGCTGCATGCAGGAGGATCTAGTGGAGGGGGGTCACGGCCTCATGGTGAACGGCTACCTGCCTGTGCTGGACGCCCTTGCTTCCCATCTGGCCTCTTGGCTCGTTATCCCATTCTGCTCCTCACGTGCGTGCTGCTCACTCCATCATGTTGCATGCAGGAGGATCTAGTGGAGGGGGGTCACGGCCTCATGGTGAACGGCTACCTGCCTGTGCTGGACGCCCTTGCTTCCCATCTGGCCTCTTGGCTCGTTATCCCATTCTGCTCCTCACGTGCGTGCTGCTCACTCCATCATGCTGCATGCAGGAGGATCTAGTGGAGGGGGGTCACGGCCTCATGGTTAACGGCTACCTGCCTGTGCTGGACGCCCTTGCTTCCCATCTGGCCTCTTGGCTCGTTATCCCATTCTGCTCCTCACGTGCGTGCTGCTCACTCCATCATGCTGCATGCAGGAGGATCTAGTGGAGGGGGGTCACGGCCTCATGGTTAACGGCTACCTGCCTGTGCTGGACGCCCTAGCTGCTGGGCTGGACATTCGTTTTAATCACAGGTGATGGCGTGATGTGATGTTGTGGTGGCCCTGGAGACGTGTATGTGAGCATGTGCACTCGATAAAGTCACGAAATTATGTGTTTTGGGCTCATTACGAAAGTCATTTGACATCTGTTGCAGTTACAGCAAATCCTTTCCTTCACTGCTTTTCCTTTTCCTGCCCGCTTCATTCTTTCTGACCCGCTTTTTCTCTTTCCCGCTTTCTTTCTCACAGAGTGGTCAACATTGACTGGTCCTCGTCACAGGATCTGGATAGATCAGTATCCGGAGGGATAGGAACAGCAGGGGAGGTGCTGGCTATGAGGGTAGAGGCAACAGGCGTAGGTGCAGCAGTGCAGGCAGGGCAGCAGCAGGGCAGCCATCAGTGTAACAGACTCACCGAGCAGGGTTCCGCTAACCACCGCATACCATGTGCTAGTCTCAGGTGCACTGGGTGTAGAGAGTGCGTTTTCGGCAGTAGTAACAGTATGCACGACACCAGAAGCGGAATTAGCAGCACACGTAACCCTGTAAGTCCTGCTGCTGCGGATGCACGCTGCTCGCCTAGCTGTCACATGTCCCAGAATCCCGGTTCTTGCACTAGTGAAGCTGTAGCTGACGTCAGTATGCCGTGTAGACCCGGTGTCCACGTCACCACGGCTGACGGCACCATCTTCTCCGCTGACGTGGCGGTTGTCACCCTGCCAGCTGGCGTTCTGCGGCTGTCTGTGGGCCACGTAGGCAGCTCAAATCAGGAGATTCCCTTAGCTGAGTCAGCCAATGGTGATAATCGCAGCAACTGTAGCAACTGCAGCAACTGCAGTAACGGTAACGGCAGTAACAGCTGTAAATGCAGTAGCAGCAGCAGAATAGGCAGCAGCAGCAACACCCATCCGTCCACCACCCCTACCCACCCCAACCGCATCCACTTCTCCCCTCCTCTCCCGCCATCCAAATGCACCGCTCTCTACTCCATCGGAGTCGGAATCGAGAACAAAATCGCGCTCCTCTTCCCCTCCTGCTTCTGGCCCTCGGTGGAATTCCTGGGAGTGGTAGCAGACACACCCTACGCATGCAGCTACTTCCTGAACCTGCACAAGGCCAGCCAGGGCGAGAGGGCAGTGCTGGTGTTCATGCCGGCAGGGCGGCTGGCAGAGGAGATGGAGGGGATGGGGGAGAGCGAGGCTGTGGCGTTCACCATGCTGCAGCTTAGGAAGATTCTGCCCCACGCGCCTGAACCTGTAAGCACTCTCCCCTGAAACACTGGCTTCCTCTCACCGGATTTTTTTCTGAACGGGTTTGTTTGTGTGGTGAGTGAGAAGGGGAGGTTTACGCCTTTAGGGAGGTTCGTTGTAGAGGCGAGCCGGGGCGAGAGGGCGGTGCTTGTGTTCATGGCGGCAGGGCGGCTGGCAGAGGATATGGAGGAAATGGGGTAGTGTGAAACCATTGCATTCACCATGCTGCAGCTTAGGAAGATCCTTCCTATGTTTGCATTCGCTCAGGTTTGAATGAAGATTTCTTACCCATTCAATCCCTACTAGCCTAAAGCTCAGCCTAGAGAAGATTAGGACGAGTTACCTGTTGGATCCGGGTCGAAACTATTGCCGTATCCTTCCCCACGCGTCAGAATCTGTGAGTATGCTCCCCCGAAGCACCAGCAGTGCGTGAGTGTGGGGGTTCCACTCTTGGTGTTTCCATCCCCTCCTCTCCCTCCCCTCTGTTTCTTCACTTCTCCCACCCCCCATGCAGATCCAGGCGCACATCACCACGTGGGGGTCATACCTCTTTTCCCTCGGAGCCTACTCCCTATGATGCAGTGCACGCCCCTCCCCGCGTCTTTCACTACCCCCCGTTTGCTTTTTTCACTCTGGCTTCCAAACAGATTCAGGCACGCATCACCACGTGGGGGTCAGATCCCTTCTCCCTCGGATCCTACTCCTACGATGCAGTGGACGCCCCTCCTGACGTCTACGATTCCCTCCGCGCCCCCCTCCCTCCCCTCTTCTTCGCCGGGGAAGCCACCTCACGCGCCCACCCTGGCACTGTTCACGGCGCGTTCTCCACCGGGCGGCAAGCTGCAAGAGAGGCGGCGGAATTCGTCCGGTTGTTGGGTTTCGGGGAAGGGCCGAGGATGGTAAGGAAGGATGAGAGCAAGAAACACGTGGCGCTGCTGCCACAGTCAGTGGTATCAGGAGGAGATGTGACTGGGGAAGAGAGCATTTTGTCTCATGTGGAAGCTTTTGGGAATGGTTCCGAGACTCACAACAACTCACTTGAGCAAGGGCAAGTGGGGGACAGCAGCACTATGGATTCCGGTCCATCGTCGTTGACTCAGCATGTGGTTTCCGGGGAAATCGAGGCAGGTCAGTCCAATCAGAACGAGGATGGTGCATCGAGTTTTGGAGCGCTATCAACAAGAAGACCTTGGAACACGATGGATGTTTCGCTGCCTGTGCATGTGATAGAAAGTAACGCTGAGTGTTCTCACTCAAGGGCTGTTTCTCGGGCGGGAAAGGCACTCTCAATTAGAATATCAAGGCTGTAGATGAGTTTCTGTAGGCTGTATATTGCAATGCTTATTGTGGCTAAATAGCCAGTTATTATAGAGTATTCTCTCTCCCTACACCGAACCAGTCGGTAATGAGTATTACACCCTCCCTCTCCTCCCCCTTCCCCTTCCTCGCAATCATCGCATTCCCTTCTGCGATGGCCGAAAATAGAGTGCGCGAGAATTTAGCACAATTGCAGCTGGGGCTGCTTTGTACCACAAGTTGTACCGCAGGGCGAACCACCTACCCAGGAATATATGGATCCCCAGACAGGGAACGTGCATTTCGTGGCGACGTAGACAGGCGCACGCGAAATAGACAAGCGCCTGGCAATTTTTTGAATTTGCCCGACGAAAATAGACAGGACGCAGACGGGCGAAAAAAAAGTCCACATATAGTTATAAAAATATGGTTCACGAAATTTCGCCAACATTTCGTGAATATTTCGTTCGGCGTGAACAGTGACACAGCGACGGTCGCCACATGGGGGTCGCGCAGAGAGGTCGCCAGTAACATGCAGAACAGTCAAGATGAGCAAATTTTGGTGCTTACATACAGAATAAATTGCACAATAAGGCTCTGAAACAAGCCAAAATGGAGTCCACAGAATTGGCAGAGTGTTGGGATTTTTTTTGCTGGGTTTTTTTTTTTAATGATACGATAGATTCAGCCATCCCATACCTTACTACAATGGAGAGATTTGTAAAAAACACATTTAAGGGTGGTTTGCTGCTCCAAATGCCTGCCTTCTGGCGTACCTTTAAACGCTGGTAACAGATAGGTTAGTGATGCAAATCATCTTCTGAATGGCTCTAGCATCTTCCCTAGACATCCTCTAGAGTTTAAGATTGAAATAATTTTTTTGGTGGAATTCACCAAAACCAACATATCAAGCTACTCCATTGAAGCTCCTAGCACATGACAACTCATTCTCTAGCTATCATGGACAGTTGTAAATTTCTTGCACGTTATTTTTTGGTTTTGAAGATTGTGCTACTGTTATCATCAACTATGTTGGCTGTCTGCCTACTCACGTTTGGTTCTTTCAGCAACCTGCACCATTTTGTGTCACAATCGCCTGCTTACTCATTTTGCTTTGCAAACCATTGTCCTGTGGTCCAAATGAGCAGAGTTTTTTAGAGGAGTATCATTCCAACATTGAAAGATCCTGTACCAATTTTCAGATCAATCCAAAAACCAGAGAGAGGTTGTTGATGATGATTTTTGTCGTGGTTACCTTGACTTAGTCTAAGTTTTAAAGCACAAACCAAACATTGGAATTAAGCTTTTAAACTCATAGGGGAGCCTCATGCCACTAATTATAGATCCCCCTCTCATTTTCAAGTCAATCCATTAAGTTTTGATAGGCCTTTTATGCTTTGTTGTGAAAGATAAGCCTGAAAACTCTGCAGAATTGACTGCAATTGGATTCACATGCAAAACACAAACTAAACATTGGAATTTAGCTCTGAAACTCATAGGGGAGCCTCATGCTATTAATTATAGATCCCTCTCTCATTTTCAAGTCAATCCATTAAGGTTTGATAGGCCTTTTATGCTTTGTCGTGATAGATAAGCTTGAAAACTCTGCAGAATTGACTGCAATTGGATTCACAGGCAAAACACAAACCAAACATTGGAATTAAGCTCTGAAACTCATAGGGGAGCCTCATGCCACTAATTATATACTCCCCTCTCATTTTCAAGTCAATCCATTAAGGTTTGATAGGCCTTTTATGCTTTGTCGTGAAAGAGAAGCCTGAAAACTCTGCAGAATTGACTTCAATTGGATTCACATGCAAAACACAAACCAAACATTGGAATTTAGCTCTAAAACTCATAGGGGAGCCTCATGCTACTAATTATAGACCCCCCTCTCATTTTCAAGTCAATCCATTAAGGTTTGATAGGCCTTTTATGCTTTGCCGTGAAAGAGAAGCCTGAAAACTCTGCAGAATTGACTTCAATTGGATTCACATGCAAAACACAAACCAAACATTGAAATTTAGCTCTGAAACTCATAGGGGAGCCTCATGCCACTAATTCTAGATCCCCCTCTCATTTTCAAGTCAACCCATTAAGGTTTGATAGGCCTTTTATGCTTTGTCGTGAAAGATAAGCCTGAAAACCCTGCAGAATTGACTGCAATTGGATTCACATGCAAAACACAAACCAAACATTGGAATTAAGCTCTGAAACTCATAGGGGAGTCTCATCACACTGATTATAGATCCCCCTATCATTTTTAAGTCAATACAATAAGATTTGGTAGGCCATTCATGCTTTGTTCTGCAAGATAAGCCTGAAATTTATGCAGAATTGTGCCAGTTTGGGTTCTGATGCAAAGCACAAACCAAACCTTGGAATTAAGCTCTCAAACTCATAGGGGAGTCTCATAACACTGATTATAGATCCCCCGATCATTTTCAAGTCAATCCAATAAGGTTTGATAGGCCTTTCATGCTTTGTTCTGCAAGATAAGCCGGAAATTTCTGCAGAATGCCTGCGTCTGGGTTTTGATGCAAAACACAAACCAAACCTTGGAATTGAGCTCTCAAACTCATACGGGAGTCTCATCACACCATTGAAAGACTCCCCTATCATTTTCTGAACAATCCAATAAGTCTAGATATGGTTTCGCCGCATTTTTCTGCAAGGTTTGCTTGAAATTGCAGCAAACATGTTTGCTTATGCATGCTTAAATTCCTATACTGAGACACTATCCAATCTCGACGATGTAGTTAAAAGTGAAGGGCATTGCGCTTGTACAGTGTGATGACAAAAGGAGGGTTCACATTCGTGCAGCATTTCTCCATGTTGACGGTTGATGGGCGCTACACAGTTTGGGTGTTTTTTTTATGCAAACTCTCTGTATATTACACAATTATAGCACAATAGTTCACACTACACTTCACTCTTATCGCGTCAGGGCGCAACCTCGAGTACTAGCACAAAATGTAGAGTTAATATAGGGCAGACTCTGCATCTGGCAGTGTTAATCGGCTGAGAAACCTTCTCTGACACACTTCGTGTCAGATTCTATCTGGCGCTCCAAAGGCTCGCAGATAACTGGGGATCCCACTCGCCCCATTTATTTTTACGGACAGCCCTTACAAAACGTCTGGCGGTGATCTCCAACCGCATACTAGGGTGTGCGGTGCAGAGGTCATCATCAACATCCTCTGCGTAGATAAGGGCTTCAGTGTGACGGCGCCACGTGTCCGTTCTTGGCAGAACATCTGCGACACCAGAGGCACGTGATTCCCCCCAATTTCGGAACACCAACCTTCGTGGGAGACAGCATGTTCTCGTTTAGATAGAGAGGTTGTTATCCAAATCCGTGAGAAGAATGAAGAACGAGGATGAATGAACTATGAATGAGGTGAGTACATATGGAAAACCCTAATTGGGTTGTACCCCCTATGGGATACCCCACTATAGCCTACACAACAGCATAAGCTATATAATGTTCTGACACACCCCCATAGGCAAAGTGGGGGAGAACAAGGGGTCACAAGACCAGTCAAGCAAAGCAGAGCAAGCTCAGGGTGGATCACAACGTCACCACACAGTCCGAGCACAACGACAAGGCCACAAGGCCAGTTCACATGCAGGAGTACACATATATATATAGAGCTAGACAAGCAAGAGCAGGTATATATATGTGACAGTACAAGTAAGGTCAAGAGGAGAGCAAGTGAGGCAAGACAGGTACAAGACCCAGCTGAGTGCAGAAGCGCTGATGGTCACAAGGCGCAAGTGCCTTGGTGAACACATCAGCAGTGTTGGCCTGAGAGGCCACGTACGCAAGTCGCAACTGACCACGCTGCTGCAGCTCACGAGCAAGAAAGTAACGGAGAGCAATGTGCTTCGTTCTGTGCTCCAAGCGCTGCTCTCGACACAAGGCCAGCATGGCCTTGTTGTCTACGTACAGCACTGGAGGAGAACGAGGCGGCTCTCCAAGGTCAGTCAGCAGGTAGGTGAGCCAGCGAAGCTCCTGTGCAGCCATGGCCCCGGCGTAGATCTCAGCCTCACAACTGGAGCCGAGAACAGAGGACGAGCGAGTAGCTCGCCACGAGACAGAGCCGGAACCAAGACTGAAGGTGTAACCCTGCGACGACCGCTGCGTAGCCTGGTCGTCAGCCCAAGAAGCGTCCGCGTGCCCAGTGAGGACCACTGGACTCCGCCCTCCAAGCACTAGTCCCATGCCCGACGTACTGCACAAGTATCGCAACACCCTCTTCGCTGCAGCCATGTGCTCTGGTCGGTGTCTCCCAGGAGCAACATAGCGTGCAAGAATGCTAAGAGGGTATGCAAGGTCAGGTCGTGTGCAGGTCATCAGGTACATGAGGCAGCCAACAAGCTCTGGATACGGGCCACTCGACTCTACTGACTCATCCGAAGGCAGAGCTGAGAGTGAGTGGCGAGTAGGCAGAGGAGTGGCCTGAGGCGAGGAGTACGTGAAGCCGAAGCGCTGAAGGACCTGCTGCACCATGTGTGACTGAGTCAGGGTAATGGTGCGGCGTGCTCTGTCCCGGGTGATCTGCAAGCCAAGGTAGCTGCGCAGTTCACCCAGGTCTGTGCACGTGTGTCTCTTCTGCAGCTCGGACTTCACGTGGGCGAGTCCAGCAGTGTCAGCTGTGGCAAAGACCAAGTCGTCGACGTACACGAGGATGTAGAACGGCGGCAGAGAGGTGTCGGTGCGTAGAAACAGCGACGGGTCGGCAGTAGAAGGAGCAAACCCAAGAGCCGCAAGCGTAGTCCTCAGTGTGTCGTGCCACTCACGTGGCGCCTGGCGGAGACCGTAGACTGGACGCCGGAGACTCCACTGGGTACCAGGAGGGAAAGACCCAGTGAAGCCAAGTGGGCGGCGCAGCCAGATCTCCTCGTGCAGGCTGCCCTGCAAGAAAGCAGTGCTGAAGTCGAGAGAGTGCAGCTCGTAGTCACGGTGAGCAGCAACGTGTAGCAGCACCCGAAGAGTGGTCATCTTCGGGGT